AGAAAGGGAGGGCGGAGAGAGTGAAGAGAGGAAGGGGTTTGCCTCCAGTTGAGTTAGGAAGGCTGGCCCATTCCTTAAGACTGAAATCATGACCCTCAATGATTCTTTGGAGTTCTCCAGTTGTATCAAATCTACACTACCATCACCACAGCCTCAAATGCAAACTCTTTGGAGCAAAAGAGGTTAACAGCACTGCCAAGCAGCTCAGGCAAGATAATTATAGGGTTTAGAGCCCAGTGTGGGAGAGAATGAGAGGACACTAATTACATAGAGGTCTGGGAAGGGTCCAACAACTCTATACAACCCCTAGCCCAGAAGAACCTCCCCATATCCCCAGAGGCACAAGCTGTGGTGTTGAGGGGGAAATAAGCCTTTAGGAAGGCCTCTCCACCAGAGCTACAGCTCAACCACCCAACGCCTCCCCTCTTGAGAAAGTCCCTACACCAAGGAATGAGCACACTAAACCCAAAAATAGGACCTTTAGGAACATAAAAAGGGACAGGCAATTTAGACTGGGAATCCTCCCTGAGGAGGAAAGGAAAATTTCTACTCCTACCTGATACAGTGGCACATGAAATGGAATCCCAGTGACTTGGGAGGCTGAGGCAGGAGATCACAAGTTCGGGGCCAGCCTTAGCAACTTAGTGAGACCTGTCTCAAAATAAATTTTAAAAGGGGTTGGGGGTGTAGCTCAGTGGTAGAGTGTCCCTAGGTTCAGTCCCCAGTACCAAGGGGAAAAAAAGAAAGAGAAGTCTAGTGCCCAGCTCAGTCCATCAGACAAGGTGGACGTGGCCTGCACCATAGGGATGCAGGATAACAGAAGTCTCTCCTCCTTAAATCAGTTCCCCTATTATGGCAACAGCACCTGTAGTGGCTCAGGCATCTCTGACCTTGAACTCTGGCAACTGGCTCTCAGGAGCTTCATCAATTTTTCCTAAGAATGTTAATGGATCCTCTAACAGGAGGAGGACACACCAGCACCAGCACATTTTTCCCTCTGCTAAGTCCTGAAACTTCATTCGCTCCTCCAGCCATACCATCTCCTCTGGTGACAACTCACAACCTTCAAATCTAAATGCCTCCCCTAGGCCCCATCCCACATTTGCTGTGAACCAGTCAGGACCTTAAAGGAGGCGGGCCTGAAGGTTATCTGAGTAATGCAGGGAGTTACATCCTTAGCAAGCTGACAGTTGCCTGGGAGACCAGGACAGTGGGCAGGACTCCAAGTCATGGTTACCACATACCGGGATAAGCAAAAATGTTAAAGTGTACTGTCTTCCAACTCTTTTTTTGTAAAATCACCAAGGGCCCTTCTTCAGGACTGGGTCTGGGACAGCTGGAGTTCTGAAGCTCCTAAAAGAAACCTCCTAGGGATTAACTAACTCCTTCAACTCAGAGGTACCCAACAGAACCAAACCTGATGGAACTCAAAAGGCAAGATCTATGAGGGTTTATAGAAAAGACAAGATGTAGCTCAGTTCAATAGAGAGAGTGCCTAACATGTGTGAGACTCTGGGCTCGATTCCCAGGGACAGGAGAGACATTTCTCCAACTAGAAATCTAAAATGAAAATCCTCCAAGTACTAGTAAGAAAAAACAGGATGATTTTAGTTCCACCTCCAAGGAACTGGCATCCTAAATTCTACCACCAGATGGCAGTCTTGTCAATTTATTGGATTACCTGTAGTCAGTGAGCAGAAAGCCAGGAGATGGAAATCCTTTCTGTCTCACAAACTGTTTCTGACTGTAAGTCCCCGATATTTGGCAGACAACAGAAACCCCTCATGGATACAAATATACAGTTTTCTCTCCCCATCCAACTCTGACCACTTCCACTTACCAAAATTCATTCATTGTTGTATTCAAAGCATCTGAGAAAAACTTTGGTGAAAAAGTTAATGCTCTCAAGTTCCAGTGTAATGGTTATAAATTGGGGGAAGAGTATTTATCCTATTAGAATGGTGTTTTACCAGATATTTAATCCTAATAATTCTATGAAATAGGTATAATATTTGTATCTTCATCTTACAAATAAGATGTATCTCATCAAATAAGATGTATCTCATCTTCTTTAAAGACTTTTAAGAACTTTCAAAGCTGGGCACACCACACACATGCCTGTTAATTCCAACTACTTGGGAAGCCGAAGCAGGAGGATCACAAGTTCAAGGCCAGCCTGGGCAAATTAGTGCAACCCTGTCTCAATAATAAACACATAAAAAGGGCTGGGGATGTAGCTCCGGTAGAGTGCCCCTTAGTGGTAGAATAGTAAAAATCACACAGCCACAAAAGGGAGGCTACTGGAACTGGAGCCCAGGCAGCCATGTTGCAGTCAAGAAGCTAGAGTCAGCATAGGACTTCTGGATGTCATGCCTAAATCTCATCTATACTGAGAGCTAAGGAAAGAGATTGTGGGAGGCAGGGGGAATTGGGTGCTGGGTATCTAACCCTGGGACTCAAACATACTAAGCATATACTGTATCAACCCCCAGCCAAGGAGTTGTTCTGTGAAGAAGAAAAACTTATGCAGATTCAAGAGTATAAGAAGAATGGAATAATACTTCCAGGTATCTAGCTTAGGTGGTTGCCATTCACTAAATGAAAAACTGCAAGTGAGGAATGAGGTTGTGGCTCAATGGTAGAGCACTCGCCTGGCATATGTGGGGCACTAGGTTCCATCCTCAGAACTACATAAAAATAAATAAATAA